CGGTCAGATGATCTTCATAACACACGTCAACCAGTACAAGGGCGAGGTGAGGAGTTACAATAATCGATCCTGTTCAAATCTCTCTTCTTTCCCTTATTAGACTCCAATTTTAACTCTCGACTGTATTCATGAATCGTTAGTGATATTTAGAACGATTTTTGCTGATGGCCTCTTTCAACCATCTGAGAATACTTCGCATAGATTGTGAATACACTATCGCGAAGGGTCCCTTCTTTTTCGGTTTAGCCACTGCGCGACCGCACGTTACTGTTCGCGTGATTTGTTCGCAGTCCGCTTTCGACGATTATTTCAGAGATGGGCGTTACTAAATGCTTTTTGGCCAATTAGAAAGTACTAGTAGTAATAGAACAGCGTTCTTTTCCAGCAAATGCTTCCATAATCACTGAACATATCATGATGTACCTCTGCAAAGATTACGGATAGAAGTAGAAAGCGTGGCATGTCTTTGAAAGAACGACTAATACTGGACGCTTTGTGTTGTCGTTTCGGTTGTAATCTCCATTGCGATCAGTGTGTATTTCAGCTCAACCATGTCAAATATCCTCCACCAATGGTAACGAAACGACCTCAACGCGCTGCCAATCTATTGCTGAATCAGTTTTGCACATTCATAGATAAGGTATGTCACCAGAAGTGATGAAATTCTTAAGAAGAAAAGAGGAGGGAGCATGATTCACCGATAAACAGGAAAATTATGAAATATTGAGCTCATACTTGACGAGGTATCGCATGCAAAAGATACCCATCGATTACAACCAGGCGCACCGCACACGGATAATCGATGACTGTCACTGTCACTTTGTCACTGAGCATATACGGTAGCTGTAAGGCAGCGAACGACAGGTTTGCTCGGTAGTCTTGACATCAGAAATACCGTCATCACCTCTTACCCCTTCACCTTCCTGAGGTGGCCTGCAAGTAGATCATTAATGATTTTTTTTTCTTTTTTTAAAGGTTATTCTTGCTAACTTCTTGTTAAAAGCAATCTGGGCGGATTTTCTAAAAGAAGGGCATGAAATGAATTGAGAGCATGCCGGGGAGCATTCTCGTCGCATGTGGGCGGAGCGTGCGCCTAAGTCCCAAGTAAGCACACAAATGGATTTTACTGGATGAAATGGGTCAAAAT